GCTGCCCGCGCTGCACCCGCCTGTCCTTGCCTGTCCTTCCTTGCACACTTGGGGCCCCTCACTCCCACCTCGGTGTGGGTGGGCTCTGTCATCTGCCCCCCCCCAGGGCCACCCACTGCCACACCCACTGGCCGCCTGGCACTCTCAGCTCTGAAACTCCCTGCCCTTCGACCTGGCCTACCTTCTGTCCACAGTGGCCCCTCTGCAAGGGCGCTCCCCTGTCGGAAGTGGGCCATCTCCCACTTGCTGCCCCTTCTCGATGCCCTGCAGCTCGGGGACCACCTCTGCTCTGACGAGGCCTGGATTTCCACCAGTCTCTCGCTCTCAGGCCACCTGGTGGTGCTCCTCCCTCTGGCTCCTGACCCAGTGCCCCACCTGGTGTTCTGCACTGCCCTCATCTGACCCCAGGTCCAGGACCTGAGCTCGCCCTGCCAGTGCCGCCCCGCCACTCAGGTCCTCCAGGCGCCGAGTCAGCCCGGGGGCCTCCCACTGCCCGGGGCCCACCGTGCTCGCCTCCCCGCACCCCAGTTCGGTACATGGAGGAGACTGCTGCGAGCTGTCCCCGGCTCAGGTTCCTCCTCTGCAGCATATAAGTGGCATGCTGTGGAGGGCCGCTGCAGGGCTCCGCCAGGTGGCGCCCCCGGGCAGCTCTGGGTTCGCTCTGGAGCCCTCTCTGAGTGCGGGGTGGGGTTGCCATCTCCCTCGGGGAGAGACGAACACATACACTTCATAAGTGAGTGAATAAGGGTAGGTCCCAAGTGCACAGTGGCTTCCTCTGTGGATGGTAACTTCCACCTGCTCCTCTGGCATTTCACCGCATGTGCACCCTGGTACCTGTCATCACGCAGAGGCAGCATGGATGGTGCCTGGTGAGCAGGCGGGGAGTCACGTACTGGCCACGGGAGCGTGGCAGGGTGTGTGTTCCCTCTGGTCTCAGCCCGTGTGGGCGAGCATGTCGCCTCACTAATGCACAGAGAGCACCTTGGTGCCTGGAGCACTGCACCCGCGATGGCGGGCTCTGCTGTCTGCAGGAGGCCACGCAGAGCCCCGAGAGGCCCTGGGTTGTGGGCACGCCACGTGTCTTTTCCAGGGCCTCCGTCCCAGCAGGATTCGGGGCACCCCTGCACACACACCCAGCATGGTTTTCAAGCTATAGAGCTGGGATTTGAACCGTCAGTTATGTGGGACCCAGCTCCCTGTGCACAGGGCTTACCCACTGCTGCACGGGGCCAGGCCAGCGTGACTCACTAGTATTACCTCTTAGTCTCACAATGACCTGCACCTTTACTGCTAAGGAGGCAGGCTCAAAGCAGAGTAAGCACTTGTCCAAGAGGTAGCCCTGGCAGCTGGAGGGCAGCCTCCCCGTCCCCACTCACTCCTCAGCCTGGATGGAGTCCTCAGGGGCCACGTAGTTGCTGGGGATGTAACCGGTCTGTCCGGAGCTGAGAGACCGGGCCTCCCACCAGTCACCTTCACTGCAGGCATAGAAAGTCAGGGTGGTCAGCAGCAAGCGGGGCCAGGCAGGGCCACACAGATGTCCAGGTCGAGCCTGGCCCGGCCACCCCTTACCCTGAGGACAACCCCCCAGCTCAGGGCTTTGGGCTGCTCGGTCCTCAGCCACCGAGTGGTCCAGGATGGCCTTCCCTGTGGAGGGAGGGAGTCCGGGAATGGCTGGGCCTCCTGGCCCCTCACGCTGGCTCCTTGCTTGGGCTGGGCTTGGAAGTACAGTGGGCAACTGATGGGGCTGCTACCCACCAAGCCCCATGGCTGTACATGTCCTTGGGGACAAAACCCCGAACCGTCGGCACGGCTTGGAAAGCGTGGCAGGCTCCGTCCCTCGCCACCCCAACCTCCCATTCTGGATCTTCTAGGCGACGGGCCACCAGACTGGCCCACTGGTCATGCCTCCAAGCCACCGTTGAGTCCTATTCTCTGTTCCTCCTTCTGAATCTCTTCTTTCACTGCCTACTCGCTATCCTAGGCTCAGGTTAATAATCACCTCCTCCAGGAAGCCCCCCCGCCTCCCCGCCATCCTGGGGACTGTCTGGTATTCTTCCTGTCCCCGAAGTTCCTCATGCTTTCCCCACATAGCGGTGATCACCGCAATTTCTCTTGTCACGTGGATGTGTCCCCGTCAGTCTGGAGCTTTCCGGGAACAGGGAGCAGGCAGGGCTGTCCTCTGGGGCCTGCTCCCAGCCAGCCGCACCCAAGTGGAAGAGTGGCCTGGTCACTTACGTGGTGCTCAGGACCTGGAGCCTCTCGCCCTTGGCAAAAGTGAGGTCGTCCTCTGTCCGGGCCTCGTAGGCATACAGGGCGACGAACAGGGTCACCCCTGTGCCTGTGGGTCAGTGCTGCTCAGCAGGGCAAGGCATGGGCTCCCGACCCGTCCCTGCCAGGCTCAGTCCCCGCAGCAGAGGTCCCTGAGCCCGGGGCATTCTGCCCGGGCTCCGCAGCTGGGCCTGTGATCAGGACGCACCTGCAAGCCCGTTGCCCGCCTAAGTCCCAGCATGCCTTCTGTCCCAGGAAGATGCCCCGTGTGAGGGTGACCCGAGGGGTGGCCTGGCCCAGAACCCCTCGGACTAGGGGCAGAGCCATCTCCCCTAGCCAGGTTTCCAGGGTGGGGCTGTCCACACCCCGTGTGACCCTGAAGGCAGGCCTGGAGGCTCCTGGGGCCAAACTTGCACCACCCAGGAGGCAGGTGACCCCACTCCGGCCCCCCTCACCTGTGATGCCCCTGACGGTGCCCCCGAGGAAGGCAGGGCTGGCGGGCTGAGGGGACAAGCTGCTGTTCTTGAGGGTGTGAGCACAGGCGGGTACGGGCTGGGCCTGCGTGGGGTCAGGGCCATAGCGATCTGTGGCCCCCTGGCCCCCATGGTCCCCGTCCAGGGTAATGTCCTCCTTGGGCCCCAGCTCCGGCTTCTTGCAGAACACACAGCACATTCCAGGTGCCCTGCCACAGATTGGGGGGCTTATAAGGAAGGACACCAGTAAGATTAGATTAGGGCCTCCCTAATGATTTCATTGTAATTTAAATCACATCTTTAAAACTATTTCTAAATCCTTCTGAATACTTACACAATTTAATACACTAAACCTCAGAAAAAGTGACCTTCATAGTGATTCCAGCAAGACACTGTGCCTCCGGTCCTCAACTGAGAAAGTACCAACCCATTAGCATGCATAGTTAAGAATGCATGGGGGGTTGTGTGTGTGTGTGTGTGTGTGTGTGTGTGTGTGCGCGTGCATGTGTGTGAGGGTGGGGCTGCCACAGACGGGGAGGGGGGTTGTCAGAGTAGGGCTGCCACAGACAGGGTCAGGGCGGGGCTGCCACAGATGGGCTCAGGGTCCTTGTGGGCACACTGAGCACCCTGCACGCGGCACCCCGGGCCTGGCCGAGGTGGTCCCTTGTGAGGCCCCCACACTGCCTCTGCTTGCCTACGTCGCCTCCCGCTGCCTCATGTGCCGGGCTTCTGTGACCCGCAGGACGCCCTCGTGTGTCTGGAGGCACGCGTGGTTTGCTGGCACGAGGCTGTGTGAGTGTGAGTGTGAGCGTGAGTGTGAGTGTGAGCGTGTGTGTCTACTTGGGCGAGTGTGCACGCATTTCTGTGTACAGTGTGTCTGAAAATGCGTTGCCCATGCGTGTGCCTGCGCCCGCCTGCATGTGGCGTGTGAGGCCGTGTGCCACGCCTGGACAGCGCCTGCGGAGGGATGGGGGGTTCCTGCCGTGGTCCAGCCTGGCCAGAGCAGCCTCTGGGCTCCCCACCTGTTACCTAGCAACAGGCCCCCCGGAGGAGAACCACCTCCATTCCCTGACCCTCCTCTCCACCCCTCAGGGCCCAGGTCCTGGCCAGGAGCCTGCGCTGGTCCTCAGGGAGACAGCTAGGGTGTGCACGGGCAGGAAGGCAGAGGTGCTGCCTGGCCCTGCCCTCTCTGGGGAGCCCAGCCCGGTCCAGGCCTCCGTCCCCTGCCTGCACCCCGCCTCGCGTGGGCGCCAGCACGCCGCTCTCGCACCCACACGACCGACACACGGTGCTACCCACGCCACCCAGCCCGCGGCCGGCGTGACGCGGTCACGCATGCACGTGGATATGCAGCCGCCTTCAGCAGCGGGCTCGTGGGAGGCTCGGACTCCGTCTCCCCTTCCTCTAGCTGGGCTTCAGTTGAACCCGCCCAGCTCACTCACGGCCCCCAGAGACAGACAGACACCTACCTCCGGGGCCTCCTGCCCCCGCATCGGGACCCAGGAGAGCCTCCCCGGCAGCCTGTCCGAACAAATAGGCAGGCACCTCCAGGCCGCCCTTGCAACACCCAGAGAGGAACTGCCGGGAGAAGGCCCAGCTTCCGCAGGCCCGAGAGGTGGAGTGCTGCGGGTGGGGCCCCCTGGCCTGTTTCCCTAGCCAGAAGCCCCCGACTTCCCTCTCCTGATAGGGACCCCTCCTCTTCTCTGCATCCTGCCCTCCTCCCAACACCACTCACCTCTTCTAGGAAGCCTTCCTGGAGTGACAAGCCTGGCCAGCAGGCCAGCGGCCCATCTGGTCAGCGCCTGACCCCCAGCCGCGCCCTGCACGGTCTCCGTCCCGTGTGAGAGCGCAGCCAGGGCGCGCCCACATGGTGAACCAGAGGCAGGCTGTGGTGAGAGGCCGCCGAAAATAGCTCCTGTCACCAGGCCCCCGAGATCTTCACCCAGGACCCTCCCCTGGGGGAAACCACCATGTCAGACGGGCCCAGGAGGTGGCAGGGCTGGCCCTGGGGGCCCCATGAGGGGCCGAGGGAGCCCAGGTGAGGAAGCCTGCTCCCCAGGACGGTACAGCCCTGGAGCAGCAGCACCGGCGTGCAGGCCCGCCCTCCCGGATCGTGTCTCCCAGTGCACACGCACCCGCGCACATGCACCCCGGCCTCACCTGTCCCACAGCGAGGGCAGGAGTATGGACAGCATGGACCGGGCCAGCCACACTTCAGCGGCTCTCCTGGGCCTCACAGCGTCCTGAGCACAGAGAGGCTTAGGGAACGAATGGGCCGAGGCCACACAGATCGCAGCTCCCAGCCTCTCTCCCTCCCGAGACGGCCATCCCTGCCCCGTGCCCAGGTACTGCACCTGAGGGGTGCACACCAGAACCAGCACAAGGGCCCATAGGGAGCGCCCTGTCCAGGACACAGCCCCGGACCCACTCCCGCCACCTGCAAGGACCCCACACATCGTAGGGCGCGTCTGCAGCCCAAGGGGACTCTGAGTGCAGCCTGGTCCGGGGGCGTCCGAGGAGGGCAGACAGCTCCGGGGCTGAGAGCAGGTCAGAGGGGAGCAATTTAGGGCAGGGGCCAAAGCCCGGTGGGGCCTGGCTCTCTGGGGGCCGTTATGCCGTGGGGTCAGGGAGCTGGGGTCTAGAGTCTGGTTCCGCGTGGCCCCAGGCAATAAAGGTTCACATTGACTATGGCCAAGCTCATGTGGTTGTCAGAACGAAGAGATAAGGAGAGACAGAGAGACAAGGCAGAGGAAGGACAGAGGCAGAGACCGAGAGGTGCCGGCACCGTGGTGAAGGAGCTGGGCCTCACAGGCCCAACGTCTGGCTTGGAACATGCCAGGCCTGAGTGCAGGCGTGCCCCAAGTCCCAGCAGGGTGGAGGAATGAGGAGATGGGGCTGTGACGTGACCGTGCCCCATGGGGTGCTTGCACCCTCTCCTCTCTCTCTGGCGGATAGAAATAAATAAAAAGAAAATAGGGAAGACACTGGAGACAGACACATCGTTTAACCTCGACTGCTCAAAACAGCAGCTATTGCTCCATCCATCCCAGCATCATCTCTCCCGCCCCTGTTCACGGCTTATTTTTTCCTACCAGGTAATTATTACCGTATGACATGCTGAATTTGACCTGTTTTTGAATTTTCTAAATTTTGTCCCATCCTTAGTAACGTGCTTACTATAGCACTGGCAGTGCCACAGCTGACTGTGAGTCCGGGTCCCTGGTCTGGTCCACCTGAAATGTACCAGGGACGCGAGGCCTGAGGAGCCGGAGGAAGGCCGTCTCTACGTGGCCAGACCCTGGCGAGCGGTAAGAGTGCTCCCCTCTCTTCCACATGCATGTGGTATGCATGCATGCACCTTCAGTCACGAATAAAATAATACGCTGAAAAAGTTAACGGTTTACAATCATGTTTTTAAAAGACAAAGAGGAGAAAGAGACCTACAGAGAGAAACCCTCTGAGCCAGTGTCAGTCAATTTGTGCTGGTAAACTGCCTCACTCCGAGCCCTGGGCTGTGGCCTTTGCCGACCCCATGTGGGGCTGACTTAGAGCTACCGAGGGGGCTCCTGAGTACTGGGTGGGGCGGGGATGCCTGCACAGCACCCCACCCAGTGCCTGCCACTGCAGCACGCGGCCGCCAGAGGGACAGCAGGCAGGGCGGAGGGGCAGAGGGCAGGGTGGAGGGCAGCGGGCAGGGTGCAGGGGCAGCGGGCAGGGTGCAGGGGCAGCGGGCAGGGCTGGAAGACCAGAGCGAGCAGGGAGGCAGAGATAAAGTGGAAGTGAAAGAAACAGAAGACTGAAGGGACACAGATGAAGAGAAGGACAGAGGAGCAGGCGGCCCCCGTTTGGACAGCTGCAGACGCAGCCCCAGACTCTGCCTCCCTTGGTCTGACCCCGGCCGGTGCCAAGTACGACCTGGCTCTTGGAAGGAGAGTCCGACTTCCCGGAGGCCCGGTTGGCAGTAACGGCTAGCGGGAACTCAGGGACGGTGGCACATTCACGGTGGCCATCCCCAGCACAGTCTCACTCGGTGGCCCAGAGGCAGGCCGGTTATCTTCCCGCATCTTACGGGCGGGCAGCTGGGAGCAGAAGTGTAGACCTGGCCGAGGGTACCCTGCAGGAGGGAGCCAGCCTGCGATGCCAGGCCTGGGCGCCAAATCAGCCTCCCTTCGCCTCCCCTGTGGTCCTGCTAGAAGCGCTGACAGTGGCCCTGAGCCGCCCGAGTGCCTGCCCTCACTGCTGCGCCAGCTCCGGTGCGGTGCTAACACACTGCTCAGGGAGACTCAGACCGTGCATGGTGACCTTGGTTTGAATCCCTGAGCACCTGTGACCCCACGGGCTAGAGGTGGAGGGAAGGTGACCCAGGACAGTGCCCGCCAAAGAAAATAAAATCTCTGTTAAGAGGCTAACAGATGGCGTGGTGGCTAAGGTGCTGGACTCCCATGTGGCCAACCACAGTCCTGGTGGCTTGCTTTCTTGCTTTCCCTCTCTCTCTCTCTCTCTCTGGTGAGTGCATGTGCCCTGTAGAAAATTAATATAATAATAATAAAATAAAACAAAAATTTAAAAAATTATTTATTTACCTTTATTTATTTATTATTATTATTCAGTTTGGCAAGACACAGAGAGGGAGAGTCAGGGCTAAGGTCCTGCACCAGCTCCCCAGACAGCTGCCCCACCCCCACCCCAGCTCTGCTCTAGCCTGGACCCTTCCGCCAGGCCGAAGAGCTTCAGGATCCGTCCCTCTGCCGGAGCGTGGTGGCAGCTGGTGGGTGTGGTTCCCGCCCAGCACGGCCAGCTGAGGTTGAGAACTGCAGACAGCAGAGCTAGACAGCCCCGTGGCCCGCTGACAGGCCACCGCTGCGCCCAGGGAGGAAGCGACCTGCCTGTGGTCACATGGCCGGACAGGAGATCAGAGCCAGGTACTCGCTGTCCACACGGTGGCTGTGCTCCCAAAGCCTGCACAGGTGGTCATGGTGACCTCGGTGAATGTCGGACTTCCTGCCGACGAACGCATGCCCCTGGCAGCAGGGTGGCCGCAGTGCTCTGCCCTGGACTCAGGAGCTCCCAGCCCCCCTCTCAAGGTCCACACTGCCCAGGGCTTCGGTGTGGATGCAGGCTGTCTCAGCCAGAGTGCCGCTGGCTGGGGATAGAATGCCACCCTCCCCAGCCCTTACCAAGCACCTGTGGGACCCAGAGACAGACTCCACCGTGCCCAAGAGCTAAGACGTGGGGAGTCAGCTCGTCTCTCAGAGCTGCCGTTTCTTCTGTAAACCAGGAGCCCCAGTCTCTCAGACATTGAGCTCAGCAGGTGCTCGGTGAGCTTTCACCTCCCTCCCTGCTTCTTGAGGACCTGGAAGGTGCAGGGCCAGGCAGAAGTTCCCGCGGGGAGGGGGGAGGGCAGTGGCCTTGCTGCCTGGGGGTTTCACCCAAAGGGAACCGGGCTTTGCGCAGTGGCAGGAAACCGCCACCCTGCAAGAGTTCCGGCTTCTCCCCAGGGCTCCGTTCTGACCAGGCTGGGGCAGGAAGCAGAGCTCAGGTCTGCAGCACCCCAGTCCCACTACACCCACCCTTCACCAAGACCTGACCCTGCCGAGGGCTTCTGGCTGAGACCCTTCGCCTGCAGAACCCCAGCACCCTCACCAAGACCCCAGTGAGGCCACGCACTCACCTCCTTCCATCCCACCCCGCCTGCCTTTTCCTTTACAGTTTTCTCTACGCCGCCTGCTGGCCCCCACACCACATTTGTGGAGGCCTCATGACTCTCCATGGGTTAAGAAGACACCCCGGGGAGCAGCAGATGGTGCAATAGCTGTCGCTGGACTTCCACATGGCTGACTACTGTTCAAGTCCCAAACCCAGCTGCATGAAACTCACGCCAGGTGCATGTGTGTGCATGCCCAAGATGCTAGGAAGAGACTAGAGGAGAAGGGATTACGGCGAGGCCATCCCCCCCCCCGGAATGATTTCTCACTGTCTTTCTGTCTCCTTCTGTCTTTCTGGAGAATGCACACGCCCTAGAGCAAAAACCCCTCAAAAAAAAAAAAGAGAAAAAGGTGCCTCTGCCTCTGCCTCTGCCTCTGCCCTGCCCCAGTGAGGCAGGCGCGTGGTCCAGGTTTCGCGGCCCAGCCTTCAGGGAGCCCGCCTGGATCACAGGGAGGCCTGGGACCCTGCCTCTCCCTTTAGGCCGGCCGTCTCAGGTCCCTCGGCAGAAAGGTCCTGGCTCTCCCGTCTGCAGCTCTGGGTACCCTCCCGGCCGCCCAGCTTCAGCCCCTTCCGTTGCCACGTGAGCGCTGAGTTTCTGCAGTGAGCACCCCCACGTGGGAACATGGACACCCACACCCTGGCTCACGGGGCAGGTGCTCGGGGAAGGCCCATCCACCTCCCCGGCCGGCCCCCGAGGGATGCATGGGGTGGGGTCAGCAAGGTGGGCTGCCTCCCGCATCGCCTTGGAGACCAGCCGCTCTGGACTCCCTGACCCCAAAGCCTCTGCCCTCCTTCTGGAAGTGGGAACCCAGCCCTGCTCTGCCACCTCTGTCATGGTGGTGGTACCGAGGGCCTGCAACCCCAAAAGACTGGCGTGAGGGTGCCATGATGCGACTGTGCCCGTGGCCGGCGGGTCCACAGACGGTTGGTTACTGGACACCCACCAGGTGGTCCCTGGGGGACCTGTGTGAGCTTCTTCCACAGTTTTGAGAGTGAAGGAGAGTCTAGGGGTCAGTGATGACCTTGGACCCCTCGAGCACTCAGCTAACTGCTTCTCACCTGTGTCCAGCCAGGGAAGAAGGCCAGAGCTCAGACCCCTCACGGTTCACATGGCCAGAGCCCCAACTTGTCCAAGTCCCATCTCGAGGACCAGCCTTGCAGAGAAGCTGGGGTCCCTTCAG